CTGCAGAAGCAGGTCTCCAACCTGCGCAGCTCGCAGGTGAGTCTAACGAACATTTCCTTAAAAATACAATATTTAATAACATTTTGTTTTTATTTTTCAGGTGGAATTTGAAGGTGCCAAACACGAGATCCGTCGCCTCACTGAAGAAGTGGAACTTTTGAATCAACAGGTCGATGAGCTGGCGAATCTTAAGAAGATTGCCGAGAAGCAAATGGAGGAGGCGCTGGAGGCCCTGCAGGTTAATATGTTTTATTTAAGTATTTATCTATATTAAAAGATACTAACCTGATAAAATAACCGTATCGTTGTCAAAAATTCTAACAAGTATTTTACCAATTACCTTTCTCCATCAGGGAGAACGCGAGGCGAAGTATGCTTTAAAGAAGGAGCTGGATGGTCACTTGAACCGCGAGTCCATGTATCACATCAGCAATTTGGCCTACAGCATACGCAGTAACATGGAGGACAACGCCAGCAACAACTCTGATGGTGAGGAAGAGAATCTGGCTCTGAAGCGTTTGGAGGCTGACCTAAGCACCGAACTAAAATCCCCCGACGGCACCAAGTGCGATCTCTTCTCGGAGATTCATTTGAATGAATTAAAGAAATTGGAGAAGCAGCTGGAAAGCATGGAGAGCGAGAAGACCCACCTGACGGCGAATTTAAGGGAGGCGCAGACCAGTCTGGACAAGTCACAAAACGAGCTGCAAAACTTCATGTCTCGATTGGCTCTTCTTGCGGCCCATGTCGATGCTCTCGTTCAGCTAAAGAAGCAGATCGACGTAAAGGAGCAGGGCAAGGACGGCGACCAGAAAAAGGATGAGTTGGAGCAGCAACTACGGGCTCTGATCTCGCAATATGCCAACTGGTTCACGCTCTCAGCGAAGGAGATTGATGGCCTTAAGACTGACATTGCCGAGTTACAGAAGGGCCTGAACTACACGGACGCCACCACAACGCTGCGCAATGAGGTGACCAACCTGAAGAACAAGCTCCTGGCCACGGAGCAAAAGTCACTCGATTTGCAGAGCGATGTTCAAACCCTCACGCACATCTCGCAAAACGCTGGCCAAAGTCTGGGCTCAGCCCGTAGTACTTTGGTGGCTTTAAGCGACGATTTGGCCCAGTTGTATCACCTAGTGTGCACCGTCAATGGAGAAACACCAACGCGTGTCCTGCTCGATCACAAGAGCGATGATATGAGGTAATTATTATTATTAGTATTTAACTACTGATTTCTTATCGAATATTTCGCCGGTCACATTACAGTTTCGAAAACGATTCGCTGACTGCCATCCAGTCGCAATTCAAATCAGATGTTTTCATTGCCAAGCCCCAGATCGTCGAAGATCTGCAAGGCCTGGCAGATTCCGTGGAGATCAAGAAGTACGTGGATACAGTCAGCGATCAAATCAAGTATCTGAAGACAGCTGTGGAGCATACTATCGATCTGAACAAACACAAAGTGCGCGTCGAGGGTGGCGATGGTAAGTTGATGCCGCAAAGCAATCTAAACCGCTATTAAAATCATTACTTTTCAGCTTTGGAGAAGGTCAATACCGAGGAGATGGAGGAATTGCAGGAACAGATAGTCAAGCTGAAGAGCCTTTTGTCCGTAAAGCGCGAGCAGATCGGAACACTGCGCAACGTGCTCAAGTCAAACAAACAAACCGCCGAGGTGGCCCTCACCAATCTCAAGTCCAAGTACGAGAACGAGAAGATCATTGTCAGCGACACCATGTCCAAGCTGCGTAATGAGCTCAGGCTGCTTAAGGAGGATGCAGCTACTTTCTCAAGTAAGTATAGGACATATTTGTATACATGCAGAAAAGATGTAACATACTGCATATTATTTTGTATGTATCTAATCCATTTGCCCTTTTTTTAAGGTCTGCGTGCCATGTTCGCCGCTCGCTGCGAGGAGTATGTGACCCAGGTGGATGATCTCAACCGCCAGCTGGAGGCTGCTGAGGAAGAGAAGAAGACTCTTAACCAGTTACTGCGCCTGGCTGTCCAGCAGAAGCTGGCACTGACCCAGCGACTAGAGGAGATGGAAATGGATCGGTGGGTGCACTTGGGTCGTTAAAAGTCAGCTGCATCACCACCCCCAGTCACAAGCAACCCATGTTCATCCTTTTCTCGATTAGGGCTCCTTATTTCCCTATCTTGTCCCTGAAATCCCTTTGAGAGTCCAGCAATTGGTAAGCCCCTGCAAGTGGCAGACAATTTGTTGCATGCTCGCCCGCCTGCTAACCTGCTGCTGGAATCCGCCTAACCTCATGGGAAACCGCTGTGCGCTGATCAATAGTCTAATATGATAATATATAAGCTTGATCGATTAAATTTGAACTGCCAACTAACAATTATCCCGTATTCACTCCCAACAGCGAAATGCGTCACGTACGTCGCCCGATGCCCGCCCAGCGCGGCACAAGCGGAAAGTCATCCTTCAGCACCAGGCCCTCGAGCAGAAATCCAGCGAGCAGCAACGCCAACCCATTCTAACATAAGATCAGCGTGCAGCGTAAACTTTTGGCTTTGGTTTATACTTTGCTTAAGTTGTAAATTTGTTGGAGTTCCTGCGGAAAGAGAGAGAGATTTTCACAATCACAAGATATACTGCAAACGTATTTTAGAACGAAGCTGTATGCATGCTCTATCCAACTACTATAACTATGTTTGTTTGTATTGTATTTGTATTTATTGAAAGTTTAGTTAGACGAAAGTTTTGTGTTAGACAAGGAAGCAGCAAACGGTTATTTACGGTTAGTTACTTAAACGTCCAATTAATTTAATTAAAAAAACTTTAAGGAAAATATTAAATGATAACGTAACGAAATGTATTTTTCTATAAACAAATGACGTACTTTAAAGGCGTCTAAATTTGGTTCGATCTGAGTTTTGTTAACTTTCGCGTTGATTATTTAATTTTTGTTACAACGCTGTGCGCAAGCGAAAAATTTGAACAAAAGATATTGATATTGGCAACTGAACCATGTATTAATTGGCCAGACCGATAACCGAGAGTATTTTTCCATGGCCCAGTTCAAACTAAGCGGCCCCTTAATGTACGTAAGGAACGAGAGACCAGATTTTCGGTCGAAATGTATATTACCGATGGTTTGCAGCCATTGAACTTAGGGTAGCAACAGGCTACGTCTCAAAGACGATTCTAAATGATGATTTTTGTATTTATTGAACGGCATTTGGCCGCACTGAAATGAAGAAATTGTAGGAAATTAATTATAATTTGCAATGGAGAAAAAAAAAACTAAGTTTTTGCGGTTTATTTAGCATTAATTGCAGACATAACTTATGATTTGTGCATTATTATTTAAACAATTAATAAATTGCAATTCAACACGAGTAAGATTTTTATTTGTATTTTTTTATATTTATTTAAGGGGATTTCCATTCAATGCCCTAAAAATTAAAGGTCATCACACCAAAATATATTAATATATCTACAGAAACTCTTAAGGTATCTTAATACACAAAATTGAACGGGATTTCCTTAAAGGAATTTATTTAGCCAACAGACCATAATTTGCTTTAGAGTCCTTAGGTCCCATCATTATTTAATCAGCAAATTAACCATTTTGTTTCGCCTAGCCTTAAAACAATGCATTGTTTAAATAAAAAATAAATACCATGGTGATTACCAGCAGCTTAACCAACATACAAATAGCAAGACAAGCGTTAAAGTTTAAATAGATATTATTATCGTAGCTAATTGAACACGAAAGTAGTGACTACAGCCAGAGCACATTCTGTAGTGGTATTTAAATTACTAAACCTCCAAACCCCTTAAAGAAAAAGAAACTTTCAACCTGGTTGCTTCTTTTTGGATTTTCGATGTTTTTGTTGTCAATCGGAAGAGATCGATATTCTACATGAAATTTATATATACAAGATCGTATATTGTGTAAATTACCGAGCCATTAAATTGAATTTATATTAAAATAAACACAGATATACACACAGAGACACACATGCTGATACACACAACGTCCATTCATGAATTCACGTATTAACTCCATAGAGTTGCCTATAGAAACTATGCAGTATGTCAGAACAGCAAGGAAAAGCACTCTAATTAATTGTAAATATATTTATATACACATTGAAGTTCATAGATATTTTGAATGTGAGACAAGCGAACTAAACAAAATACATACATATTTCAAAATGATTTTATTGTAATTTTTACCGTCCCTTTTTGCGAACGAACAAAAATACAAAGTCTATTTACGCAACTCACTGAACCAATAACGAACGAATGAAACAATTCACTTTAAGTTTCGAGTCCACGCAACAGTCCGAGATCACATTCAACTCATACATCGATCCAACAAGCCAAAATATTTATAGCCAATATGCAACTACATAAATCATAAAATTAACTCGAGACTAGAGTACTTCAATTAGAGATTATTGATAACCAAACGGAATAAAGTGGAAGCAAAACAAAAAGCAAATAGTTTTCTATTTCCCAAAAGAAAAATGAAAGTAAGAGTAAAGCAATTGAATTTAAGATTTGAAGGATATTTAATGTAAGTTTTATGATAAATTGCCGGCAAATTGCAATAACTTTGCATGTGGTAACTGTGGACATATGAAAATGCAACCGAGTGTGCAAGGGATAAACCAGAAAAGAATATGAATTATACAAAATACTTATTGCAAAATATGTGAAAATAAACAAATTAGCAAATATAGATGCGGTTTATTTTTAACTTTCTTAACGGAGGTATTAAATTTGGGTAGTATTAAATTTGCATGTGTTCATTAAGTTTTGACATATTATACAAGTCCAGGAATAAGTTCCAAAGTTATTAAGCATTGAAAAAAGGAACTTGAGGTCATAGTGGACTTCCTACAGCTATGTATTGTATATAAGCCGACTTAAGGTAGAGAAGATGGATTAATAGAGGTAGGTCCACAAAAAGAACAACTGATAACAACATTTAGCCTGCTGAAGTAATCAGTGAAACTATTATCAAAAATGATGTAATCGTTAAAATATTCATAGGAGAAATGTATGAACTATTTATTTCTAATGTTAATTTAATTTGGTTTACTCCCGGTCAACTATTTTGGGTGGTGATGGGCCAATGGCATTCCGGGCAGCAGGTACAAGCAGAACAAATACATCACATTAGTGGAATATCTGCGAAACTTGGTCCACATTTGGCTTCCTTGGATGGGGGCAAGCATATGGTTATGAAGGCGTCTGAGATTTAGGCGGCTACTGGATTCCCTTAGGACGCTAAAGAAACTGGTGCGCGATTGGTTTAGCTCCTGGCGCAGTTCAGTGATTTGTTCACGCAGTTGTTCGAGTTCACCAGCTTGCCTAAGGTTAAAATGGAGAAGTATTGATTAGGCGTTTTTACTAGGAATTTCGATTTATAAATATAGAAACCCAGATTATTTCTTATTTTGAATGTTCCTAGAAATGACATTAAACAAAGAATGTTCCAAGAAATGACATTAAACAAAGTGCCGGAAATATTTGATATTAAAAAATTCCAAATTACAAAATTTTAATATTTATTTGATTATCTGCTCAAGAGTGCCCCATGCTTATCACCCATCCAAAATGGGAAACCCATGTTTTAATTATTTAGTCTGCCAAAGAATATTGTAGGTCACTGTAGACGGCAGTCCAAGTAGTGACGAATCGCACCGGAAGTGTGCATGAGGAGACTGCTATGTATAGTCGTAGAATAGAAAATCTGCTACGATAGTCCCATTGCAACAAGTGATAGGCCTATCAAAAGGTTTTATTACTCTCTTCAAATTCGGATTCATAAACTCTTCAGAACTTTATTGGTTTAGATGAAATTTTAGTGAAGGTAAACAATAATTGTAATAATAATAATGCCACGTAGGGACGAAGCGCACCAGGAGAGTGTGAGAAGGCGACTACTATATATACAGGAAGAAATGAAAATCTGCTGTGATGGTCCGATCATAATGAGTGATACATCAATCGAAAGGTATCGCAAAAACTAACAGCCCTGCTGGAAAAATGCGAACTAGTCTGAAAAACAACTAGTTATAGAACTAATATAAAGCAACCGGAATTTGTCTAAATGCATTTGGACTACAAAGGGTCTAGAAAATTTGTGCTAGTCGAAAAAATGATTAACACAAAACTAGTAAAAAAGAAACTTGTCTCGGACTGGTACCTTTCTGACAAAAAAAAACCGTAAAAATATTTAACTGGTAGAACAAATGCATGTTAAGGTCTAGTTAAAATGCAACTAAAATTTAACTAGTTGCAAATGAAACACATATGATCCAAAAATATAGCCTATAGTGTAAATGTCTTGGGAAATTTAACACTAAACAAATCAAACACTCGAGGTCTTCGGTTCAATCCCCAGTTTCTGTAAATTTTTTTTGGCTTTTTGTTTGCTAGGATATGCTTTAGTTTTATTTTAAACTTTGTTTAATCTGTCCGAGGGAATATATATGTGAAAAATCACTGTTTTTGAATTATGTTATTATTATTATTATTATTATATTACAAAATATGATGCGTGTATGGCTCAATCAGTAAGTGTGTCTACAAATCCAAAGGTCCCGGGTTCAAGTCCTAGAGAGGGCGACTTGCCTCAAAAAAAGTAAGTTGGTTTTAATTCCATTTAATTATCATTTACTGTATTTGATTAACTAAATTAGGAGAGGGTCAAGTTAGGCATCGTCAAGTGCTAGTGAAATCCAATCACTTGATGGTTTAGAGATAAATTTTTAGTTTTTTCGTGAAAATATTTTTTTTAGTGTAGTTTAACAGCTGTAACCGTAAATTGGTTAACAGTCACTAGTGCAAAACTAGTAGCAAATGGACTAGTTGTTTCCGATGAAAAGCATATAAAAAATGGACAAGTTCGTTACAAGGAAATGGACACTACTTGAACTAGTTAACTTTCCCGACCCAACTAGTATTTTACTGGTCCAAAAGTGATTCCGTTTCCTGCAGGGATAATTACATATCAATACTTAGTCAATTTCAATAGGTTTGGGAGAGATGGCGGTAAAAGTGAAAATGTAGTATATTGGAGCTGTTGGGGAGCTGTTGCTCCCACGTCCTAGTCTAGAAATGATGAGAAAATTTTAGAAAGTGTATTTAGTAACGAGTGCATTAATTTTTCGTCACAAAATTCATATGAGAACTTTTGTATGTTGAAGGTGCGATCATCACTAGTTTTTTACCTCGTTAAGAGGTTTATTTATTTGTAATAAGTATTCGTCACAAAAGATGATATCTCAACTTTTGTATGTTGAAGGTGCGATTGTCACAAGTTTTTTTTTTACCTCGCTAAGAAGTATACATATGTACAAAAGGGCGGTCTAAAAAATGAAATCTTTTTCTCACCCCATCGTATTCGAAGATTACAATTTTTTTTGAGATGGTTTTTAAATTTTCTTAAAAGTTACTCTTACGATACGTATGACAGTTGGTATTCAGTTAAAAAAAATCATTCTCCAATTTCTAGCCTTGTCAAATAATGGATTTAAAACAGGGATTGTAAGCAATGTATGGGTGAAATCTAGGCCACCTAGATTAAAATAACTTTTTTTGTAAGCCAACAGTGCGTATGAGTGATAAAAAAATGTCTTTGCCTATGCCTTAAATGCCACATACCAGGAAAGTGAGAGTACGACCTTAAACATTTTTATACTAATGTGGACCGCCCTAATGAACATAGTATGTACTACATGCAAGTGTAAGTATGTTTAGATCAGCGGTCGGTAGCGTTGTATTAAGTGAGCATAGGCGTTTTGTTCTGCCCAGCCGCTGCTCGCTCACGTACACTGTAGAACAGCGGTCTGCACACACACATCGATGAGCTGCCCAGTGCAAGTTACTCACACAAATATAAAACAAAATGTCAACGTATGTGTGTGCAGCCCGCTGGTTTAGATTGATAAGCCTAGCTTTAATCGTATAAATAGAAGGCATCCGAATCAGGCTGTTAGTCAATCTGCATCTTCTCAAGAAGTCGTAATCATGCGACGATTCTGGGCAATTGAAGTTCTTCTTTTGGGCTACGTCGTTTTAGGTGAAGCTTGTAAATACTGTGTTCCAAAAGAAAATTGCTTACAACAGTCAACCACATTTTACTCTGTGTGCTTTCACTCTGAAGTCTGTTGTGAAGTTCTTCGTGACGTAAGCTTAAATAGATAATTTGTGTAAACCAGATAATAGTTCATTGCATTTGATTATTCGTAGAATAACGATATTTGGTCGCAGAAAACAGAAACAGTTGAACAACAAGCTGTATTCACATATGGGCCATTACCACCTCAAAAAAAAGTATGTTTACAATAGAATTTTGTTTCCGAGAGATTTAAATCTATTTCCGTTTATAAGCAGGTACCGGAAATAGGTATCACCTATTGGCCACCCACCACAACACCACCACCACCACAACCAACTACTCAAATCCCCAAATCCGGTGAAATCGGACAGAAGGGCTTGAGTAACCCCCTCGGATTAGATCTCACGAAATGTGTCACTGATGAGCAGGCAAAGCCTGGCCAGTATCCCTGGGTTGTTGCCTTGTTCAACGGGAGTCAGTACTGGTCGGGCGGATCCCTGATTTCTGCAGGAGTTGTCCTAACAGCAGCTCACCGCGTATGGTCCATGAAGCCCGATCAAATTGTCGTCAGGGCTGGCGAATGGGACATAGAATCGGAAACGGAGTCCTTTCGGTCTGAGGAACGCGATGTGGAGAGGATCGTGGTCCACGAAAGTTTTGACTATTTAACCGGTGGCAACAACTTGGCGCTTCTCTTCCTCAAAACGCCGTTCGAGTTAAAGAACCACATCAGACCTATCGGGTTGCCTCAATCAATTGGATCGCTCAATGGACGTCGTTGCACGGCTGCAGGTTGGGGAAAAATCACGTTCCAGGCTCATAGCTATTCGAGCATTCTGAAGAAAGTTGAGTTACCCATTGTGGAAAGAAAGACATGTCAGGATATGTTGAGACGAACCAAATTGGGCTGGAGCTATAACCTGGCCCAGAGTCTTATTTGTGCCGGCGGTGAGTCTGACAAGGATACCTGTTACGGCGATGGCGGATCTGCCTTATTCTGCTCCGTTGAAGGCGGCAATCCAGATATCTACGAGCAGGTTGGCATCGTGAACTGGGGGATGGATTGTGGCCAAAAAGATGTTCCCGGAACCTATACAGATGTGGCTTTGTTTAGGGACTGGATTTTACCGAAGATAGTACCATTTACCTTCAAAAAATCGGGATGAATGCGCCGATAAGTTGTAAAATGCTATTTTTGATTCGGTTTTTTTTTTGCATTGTGTTTAATTGTGAAACACTGCAGGAAAAAACAACAATTACAGACATAAAACCATTAAAACGTGTATTTGAGTGTGGAAAAAATATTATTTTAATGGAAATGTTACGATAATCTGTGCAAGCAAGGCACTATCGCCCTGCACAAGTAGAGGTTAAAACAGCTCTGAGCTAGAGATTGTTTGTTTGTTTGAGACTTTCGAGTCATAGGTCATGGGATTATCGAGAAAGCGAGCTTCAATCAAGCTCATGTTTCCAATGATCCCTTTAAACATTTCAGTTCAACAAGAAAATAAACCAGTCAAACAGCTCAGATTACTCAAACAGCTCGAAAAGTTCCGAATAATATTTCAGATAAGGTGATTATTTAGTATCTCGTTTAAACTCATTCATTTATAATAAGATATTCTTTTAAGAATGTCTTTAATCGTGAAAATACGATCCCCTATGGATCTAAAGAAGCTTATAGTTCGATTACAAGAAAGTACCAAAACCTTACCAATTCTTAAGTATCGCATTCCATCAGCATAGCTTTTTAAATTTTTTGCCTTCTTCAAAAATACATATAATATCATTTTCATTAGATGAAGAAATGACGGAAAAGCAAAAGGCAAATCACAATACTATACTCGTGCAGGGCTCTACAAGTTACCAACAAACTACGAGAAAATTTATTCAAAAGAAATGTATATATTTTCGTGCGGGGTTTTTGTAAAAATTATAGAAACAACTATAGCCTAACTTCTTTGGCTCAAACTTCCTTAACTCAAATAAAACTTCTCACAGGCAGCGTTTGGTGACATTACTTAAAAAAAAAAGCCGAAATAGGAAAAAAATTTGGAAAATTGTTATCTTTAAAAGTAAAGTTATGCACTTCCCCAGAGATAAGCAACGGATTGTTTACAGATTTCCCAAGAATATTTCTTCTTTATTTTGTCCTTCTATCATCTATAAGTATACTGTAGGGTGTGTCGATTTCTATTGGACCGAAAAGAGAAAAGAAGAGATCTTATATTGGCGATTCATCTAATGGCCTAAATTGATGTTTGACCCCCGCAAACACTTCTTGTTCGTTTTTTTATGTAAAAATATTGTTTTTAGCACAATCATGTTAGCAAATGTGTAACGCCCATTTTTATACCCGTTACTCGTAGAGTAAAAGGGTATATTGTATTCGTGCAAAAGTATGTAACAGGGAGAAGGAAGCGTTTCCGACCCTATAAAGTATATATATCCTTGATCAGGGTTACTATCCGAGTCGATATAGCCATGTCTGTCTGTCCGTCTGTTCGTCCGTATGAACGCTAAGATCTCGGAAACTACAAAAGCTAGAAGGTTGAGATTTTCCACACATATTATTGGGCTTCTACGCAGCGCAAGTTTATTTCAGCCGAGCGCCACGCCCCCTCTAACGCCCATAATCGCCCACTAACTAACTAACCTACCTTTTATTTTGTTGTGTATATTTATACCTATCGAAATGTAGAAGACATTTTTCAAATCAGACCATTTATTAAAAAGTTATACGCAATCAAACAAATTTTATATAACCATCTCCCTCACACTACCTTTAGCCGAGTGACGTGTATTAGATAGTCGGGACACAAACCCGACTATAGCGTTCTCTCTTGTTTCTTTTGGTGGTAACCAACCATTAGGTTGTTCAGAACCTTTTAAAGATTTCGTTCGCCCATAATCGGCCCACCCTATTATACATAAATAATATATAATGCCAATCGCTTGGATGAAACAAAAAAAAATTAACAAGCGTTTATTAAGAAAAATTCCCATCTACAAACATATGAGGGCAACTGATAAGGAATCTGAGGGTATAAAAGAGGAATCATTCGGACGGAATTATTTATTCTGGTGGTGTAAACATGGAGCGATACTGGACCATCGGAGCTCTTCTCTTGGGCTGCGTCCTTATGGGCAATGCCTGTTTATATAGCTGTGTTGCTCGGGAACATTGTGAATTAGAGGCAACTATATTTGACTACCGATCGAAAAATTGCACCTCCCCTCAAATTTGCTGTGCATTCATCCGACAGGTATGTTAAAAAAAATATTCGAGTGTGACAAATTTATATCTTAATATTTTTGATTATTTGCAGAATATTTTTGCACAACAACCCAATTTTTACCCGCCAAGAGAGGACCCAGTACGGCCATATGATCCAACAGCAACACAGAGGCCAAATGGAGCAGGAATAATTCAACCAAATGGCCCCGCAGATCATTTTGCAGGTCCGAACGGAAACCAATTTAACCAAAAGCCAACCTACGGTGCTGGTAATCCACCAGTATCCCCACCACCCCCTTCGTACCCGACAAGACAACCCCCACCACGACCATATGATCAAACAGTCACGGGTGGTATTCCAGCAACTCAATGGCCAAATGGAGCAGGAATAATTCAACCAAATGGCCCTGCAGAATATTTTGCAGGTCCGAACGGAAACCCATTTAACCAACAGCCAATCTACGGTGGTGGTATCGGAAATCGACCAAATGCTCCAAATGGAAACACATTTATCGCGGCAGGAAGACCTCCCATAACCGGTGGGAATCCACCAGTTTCGACCGGAAACATCTACAACCCAACAATTCCCGGTGGTAACTCACAACCTTCGAAGACAAGTGGCGGACCTCAAAATCACCCTAAAGGTCTAGAACAAAGTGAAGAGTGCGGTTTGAGCAATCCAAATGGCTTGCAATTCATCGCTGAAGTCACCAAGGATCAAGCATTGCCTGGACAGTATCCTTGGAGCGTGGTTCTGATCCACCAAGGGGAATACTTGGCAGGCGGATCATTGATCAAACCAGGAGTGGTCCTAACAGCAGCTCATCGACTGGTGGGCGTATCTCACACTGATCTTTTGGTCAGGGCTGGCGACTGGGACTTGGGGACCACCAGAGAGCAATTTAAAGCTGAGCATCGCGAAGTGGAAAGAATACAGAGCCACGAAAGATTCAACTTTACTTCGAGTGCCAACAACTTGGCACTTCTCTTCCTGAAATCGGAGTTCCAGTTGTCTAACCACATCAGAACAATCTGTTTGCCAAAGGCGAGGAAATCGTTCGAAGGACGCCGCTGTATGGTTGCCGGTTGGGGAAAGATAAAGTTCGACGATGAAAGCCACTCGACCATTCTGAAGAGGGTTGAGTTACCTATGGTGGACAGGAGGACATGTCAGCGACAGTTGCAGCAAACCAGATTGGGATCCCACTATCAGCTCCCGGAAAGCCTGATTTGCGCAGGAGGCGAGATTGACCAGGATGCTTGCTCCGGCGATGGAGGATCTGCCCTTTTCTGCTCCGTCGGTGGGGAAAATTCTGGTCTCTTCGAGCAGGCTGGCATCGTAAACTGGGGCATCAATTGCGGACAAAAGGACGTTCCCGGTACCTATACGGATGTGGCTATGTTCAGGCATTGGATTGACGAGCAGTTGCTGCCGTTCAAGTACAGGTTAGCGGATGGGCCACACCAATAGATACTTTTACAATGCAATAAACGCGTCAATAGAGGAACACGGCACTGAAGTTTTGTAGTTTTATTTCATTTTCATTTTAATTCAGTTAAGAAGAAGGCTTCAGCCAGGATTTATTGAATATTAGGGTATTGATTAATTAATTTATTTTTTCTATTCATGGTCTGACGGATATAAATGTTGATAGTCTTTTAACTTTGAGATTCATTGTTAGTAAAGCGCTATCAGCATCGACAAACTTACATAAACACACAGAAAACAATCACCAGTTTATAGCCCTAATTGTCTAATATCCCTAATGCTCGTTTATGAAATTGTTCCAAAAAAAGTTGGGTAGATTTCGAACAAAATTGGTACAATTTTCGTAAATTACTTAGATTCGCAGGCTTAACAATTAACAATTTCAGAAAACTTCAATCGGGTTGCAGGATTACACAATGCAATAATATTTAAAACAAGTACTGACAGGAAACTTACTCTCTGACGGCTAGCAAACTCTCCTCCAGCGATGCAATGTCGTTCCGCAGAATCCGAATTCTTTCCTCCTTCTGGGTCAGGTTGCGATGGTACCAGTCCCTCACCTGACTGTACTTGGCCTCCCTGCTCTCCGCCAGGACAACTTCCTTGATGAGCTGGTCATTTTTGTGCTGCAGGTGTTGTCTGGTGCGCTGCTCTTCTGTCAATTGCCTTTGCAGGTTGGATTGATCCATGTGGGCAGTGAAGAGCAACTTCTTGGTCTGGCTAGACATCTCCTCCAGCTCATCGTACTGTTTAGAAAAATTGAATTAAATCTTTACTATTTATGAAAAAATTTAGGTATTTGTAAGGATTAATCCAACTAACCTCCTGTGACCGTTGCTCCAGATCAGTTTGCAATTGAATCTTCTCGGCTGTGAGGTTTTGGACTGAGGAGGCGAGAGATTCGCAAGAGGATCGCACCTGGTCGATACTCATCGAGGATTGCTTCAGTTGCATTTGCAGTTCCCTGTTCCTTTTTTGCTCTACTCGCATCAATGTGCCAAAAACATGGAGTTCGTTCTTGGACTTCATGTACTATAAAATATAATCCGATGGTCAAAAATGATATAGAAAAAAATGTTCCAAGTCCTCATCTACTTACACTGCATTGAAGGCGCTGCACTACCTCCTGCAGTTCACGAACCTCCTTTCGCCTTTGACGCCACGTGTGCAGCATCACCGTGGTGAAGACCTTCATGCTGGCATCTGATTTCCTCTGGGTCCAGAGTTCTGGATTCGATATTACCAGCTGACCCTTCTCTGAGTTATCCGTTTCTTGCCAGGAGCTCTTTTCGCAGCGGAAATCATAATTAGCATTTTCCTGACCGTCCATATAATACAACAGTATGTTAAAGTGTAAAAAACTTAAATTTTCTCGCTTTGCTTTCGTTTAAAAGCGTTAAAAAAAAAACTAAAAAATTGACTTTACATTACCTACGGAATATTTTGGTAGTTCAAAAAGAAAGGGCTCGAATAACATGAAGTTTTAATCAATGCCTCCTCAGTATACCAAAAATTAAATCTTTCGCTTTCTTGGTTTTTTCGCAACAAATACCCGGAATCGGCCAAGGTCGTCGGGGGTTAACTGGCGATTTGCACGCACACCCGACTTGTTCTCAAGGTTTTTCTGGTCGGTATACTTTAAGAAAAAGATTTACGACTTTAAAAGACCCTTAAACTAGTTTGATGCATTTATTTGTACCTTTTTTATATGTATCTATTTACATACATATTAATATAAATAAAAGTATAACTATAATTAAAATTGCAAATGGCAACCTAACATCACATTTTACTTATAATTGTTCAGCCTTTTATATTGTGAGACAGTTAATATCAAATAATTGAATTTTACTTAATCCCTTACGCTAAATACCAAACCGATTTTTGTTATTCCATTAAAATAAAATATACAAAGAAATTAAAAAATTGTGTATAATGAATGGTAGATAAGGATTATGTATGTATTGCTTATTATTACTAAGAAATTTTAAATTATCAATATGTTTTTATACATAGATACTCGTACATTTTTATATTGTATTTGTAAAAAAATGTATAAAGAATAAATGATAATTATTTCCTAGAACAGTTTGTAGAATTTAGAAGTCGTTAATGACTCGCTTTGTCTTTGACTGAAATCTGAGCCAGTATGAATACGAAAACTTGAGCAAGGTTCTTGAGACAGAGGCGTGGTCAGCAGAAGACTGAAAAGGGGGTTATTAGAAAATGTAGTTTCTAGAATACTATTAAAATCAAAACGATTTTGCGATACATATGTACAATGTTCATAGTTATAGGGGAAAGTACCATCGCGATAAAATATAATATTCCCCTCCGTCATCTTCACATTGAATACAGGCCCCAACATTGTAGGGTTAGTTGCCCTACCGCTGTCAAGGACACGTGTCACAGGAAGTTCAAAGAGTTTAAGGCGAAAGCCCGACAACCGGAAAAATCAATAATGTCGTATACCCGGGGTACATGAAAACGCCTGCCTCAGCACGTGTCAGCTTATAAGGGGGCAGGATCCATCCCCATTAAAAATTACCACTCGGCACTGGACGAATATCGCGTGATTTTCATGGAAAACCCTCTGCAATTGGCTGTCAGCTTATTTGAGAGTGAGAGTTTTTCCACCATTGTTTGATCAATGTCTGGACTCCATTAACTGGGTTGTTGTTTTTCGTTCGTGCTATCAAGACATTGTGAGTTGACTTAGTCCTACTATTCCCACTCCTGTACTTCAGCTGGCAATTGTTGTGGAATTTCAATACTAACATTTGACATAATTCCTATTTATTTGGGATTAGCTCATGTGAATTTATGTTTAATTTGAGGGGAAATGTTGGGATTTTACCAGGTCTTTGCATGACCTTCGTGCCAGTTAGGTATGGTCACCGATAAGGCTTTACGATAATTGCGGGAAATTCGCCCTTTAAAGATTCAATTTATGCCGAGTTTCAATAAATATTTTAGGGTACCAATATTGTTGAGCATGCAAATATTATATCTTACAATTATGTATTTAGTCATGTCAAACGATACTGAGTCTAATGTATTATTATTTGAAAATATATTATTATTTTAATGCAGGTTAAGGGCCATTATCATGGGCGGATCCAGGGCGGGTGATATGGGTGATATATTACCCCCACCTCGGGTGAAAAATTAAAGGAAATTTGGTATTCAAAAAGTTTGCAACAAGATTGTTCTGATATCACCCCCCACAACAAAATCCTAAATCCGCCACTGTTTTATACAAATAAGATAACCTTACTAAACCATCAAAAAAAACTCAATGTTTCAAAATCCTAATCTTCCCTGTACGTCATCAGTTTTTAAAGACATATTAAATTATTATATTACACTTTAACCCCCATTTCCGTTGAAGTGAATCAGCAGCCTTATCAAATTCCGGGAAACTGTCATCTTTAATGTCAGAGTTCGTCCCCCCGGAAAGTGAAAGCTGCTCCGGAATGCTGAGCACAATGCAAGTGAGTCACGGCATTGGGGCTCTGCCGGAGTGAAAACTAATGCCACAACAAATGCCGGCGCAGGATAATATCCTTTTCCAGGAATTGAACGTTGATTCAGGCCGACCCACTTGTCGGGAGGAAGTGGGGTCACAAAAGGACGGCCCAAGTCACACAGATAGTAAACGTTTCATTCATAAAAGCTAAGAAAGCTTTTCCCCGGCGTTCGTTAATGATGAGTCATAATAATGCACAGAAAAAAATGATCGCAGAGAAATAATGTGCGAAATGTGGCTATTTAATATAGACGTCCGAGTTTTGTTAAATTTAATTCGAAATTTTAAAATGTTAAAGAATTGCCCAGTGAGAAAGAGAATGTAATAAAAAACAACAAAGATATAATTTTTTTCCTATTAATTTCCATTTAATTTTTAGACTGTTCCTATGGCAGCTATATGATATAGTGATCCGATTTTTTATTAATTTTATTCGAAAATCAGAAATATTTCAAAAATAATATTCACAAGAGTAGAAGGTAATATTTTAAAAAACCCCGAAGCTAGAATTTTTTAAAGTTATTTTTTCCGATCTTTCCTATGAGAGCTATAAGATATAGTTGTCCGATCCGGTCGGTTCCGACTTATATACTACCTGCAATAGAAAGAAGACTTTTGGGAAAGTTTCATCCCGATAGCTTAAAAACTGAGAGACTAGTTTGCGTAGAAACAGACGGACGGACAGACGGATATGGCTAGATCGACTCGTCGAGTGATGCTGATCAAGAATATATATACTTTATGGGGTCGGATACGTCTCCTTCACTGCGTTGCAAATTTCTGACTGAAATCATTATACCCTCAGCAAGGGTATAGAAATCTTTTAAAATTAACTATTTAGCTTAACATAATAAAAGGATATTAAAAAAAAAGTTATTAGTTTTAAATATCTTTTACTTTTTTTCTATTATTGCTTTAAAAATTTAAACAAATATTAGTAAAAATACAGAGGCCGAATAAATTGTTGTGTGATTTTAGTTAGAAGTTTCGAACGCAGTGAAGGGGACGTTTCCGACCACATAAAGTATATATATATTCTTTATCTGTGATGAGGCGACCTAGACATGTCCGTCTGTTCGTTTCTATGCAAACTAGTCTCTCAGTTTTTAAGCTATCGGGATGAATCTTTCCCAAAAGTCTTCTTTCTAGTGCAGGTAGTGTATAAGTCGGAACCGGCCGGATCGGACAACTTAATCTTGGAAAGATCGAAAAAAAACGTTAAAAAAATTCTAGCTTCGGTGTTTTTTGAAATATTACATTCTACTCATATAGTAATAGGACCATTGTAAAATAATGGTAAAGTAATAGGAAATAAATTTTGGCTTCTTTGGTTTTTATGGTATTTATTTTTTTTTTTTAAATATTTCCGAATTTCGAATTATGATCAAATAAACGATGAATTTTGCTAAATATGTAAAAAACACTTTAAATGTTCAATGCTTGAAAGACAGTTATTTCTAAGATGTTGTATTACTATCTGTTTGAATATTATAAACTTTGTGTTCTAAATGAAATTATAAGCACTTCTTCGAAACTAGCATTGGTGGAAAACTTTAAGCGATTGTAAAGTGACTCAACAGCTGTTCGGTCATTCTCGGCTAATCGGGCTCTTCGAATTCTTCTCTTTTCTAAGCTGAACTTAAATCTTCGCAGAGCTCGCTCGTGCGACATCTCAGCTCCGCTGAAAGCTCTGCGATCTGCAAGTTTTGCGGTATTTTCAATGGCGTCTACGGTACTGAAAGTTTCGCCTCGCTCGTCTTTCTTTTGGTTGGGTAGTTAGCTATTTAGCTCGGTTCAGTGCTCAGTGTTCACTGCTCAGTCTTCAAATCGCGGCCGTCGAGATCGGTTGTGTGTGTGTTACGGAGTTTTATCCCAACCGCCATTTCGTGCGTTATTTACCTTTTTCTGTGCTTAAAGCTTTCGCTCTCTGACGCTCTTCGAAGTTGGAAGCAGGTTGAAATACCAGTAGATAAAAATAAAACGAAAAGTAAAAGAGCTGCATAAAAACGCATAAATTCAATTGAGCTAAGCAAGTTTCACTTGCTTTTTGGTATTACGAGTGACACACGCAGAGAGACTTACCTTTATAACGGACAAAAAACACGACGCACGTATTGATAATTTCAATTAAAATTGAACGTTTTACCGATTAGATTACACGGCACATCGACAATTTAACCAGAGACATCGCAAGAATTACCAAAAAAAAAAAGTGGAAAAAAGAGAGGGAGAGCGCGTTACCAAAATACCTAAATTATAAATCGAAAAAACAAAAACAAAAGCTAACCGATGATCGCATAAGCATAAAGCCCGGAATTCCCTAGAAGAAAACGACGTCACGTTTCTCTCTCTCACTCTCTCACTCTTGCGCTCTCGCTCTGCCCACTCTCTCTTTCGTCGGTCTTCGATTTCTTAACTTTTCATTAGTTTCTGTTCGAACTGTTCTCCCATCCGTTGTTGTTGTTATTATCGATATTATCGCAACCGCTTTGTGCGCGCGCAAAAATTTATAAAAAAAGAATCCGAAAGAAAGAGAATAAAACAATATTTATATACATTTATATATAAATAATAAGTAAACCGGTTTCTCATATAGTTTGTGGCCGTGTGTGTTGGCGTTAACTCTAAAAAAGCCATTTTTCAACAATAAATAATGGCTTAGTTCGATTGCTTTGCATTTAACTCGTTTACATAACGGTATCATTTTCCAAATAACGCAATACAAATTAAATAAAAAAATAAAAAGTGTATTAATTGGCTCGCGTTAAATTCCAGGTGCCTGTTATTATTAGCAAATCAAGTGATCAATGCATATAGCACGTTTTCAGATCACTCCTTGACTTAGGTGAGTCCCCTATAGAGCCTAGCTTTAGTTATTGATGTGAACTTTGATAGCTCGATTTTAATAAATACGGTGGAAAATCCTAATGGCTGTGATCTTTGAGAAGGGTCTCCATATTTGTATTTTAGTTGTAAACAATTATAGGTTTGAAAGCTAGAATATTTTATAAGTAACAATGTATTTGATTTGACTCCTAATTTTTTGAGATGGAAGTAGTTATCTTTATTTATAAAAAATATTTCAGTAAAATTAGTCGAACGTTAGAGTCATTCGGAACAACGTTTCCGGCTAATAGTGTCTAAATTGTTTAACAATTATTCACCCTTTAAAAATATGATAACAGGGCAGTAAGACTGAATATACTTTTTTTTATTTTACAAACATTTTGAACTTTTTAAAATAATAAGGAAATAAAGAAAAAGAAAAGGAAAAGGCAAAGATTTTCTTCTTGATAATATTTCCCTTGACAGACTATGGGTTTTGTTTATTTTATAAAGCCTTTTGTACATTCATTTTTTCCACATAACAATTTTTATCGGTTTTCAATTAAGTCAACCCCTATGCTTATAAAATATTCCTATCGAACATGTTGGTTTTACCCAGAATAATTATGAGCATTTTCAGAAATGGCTTTTTTATAATTCCTGTAAATGTATTGTCACTTCTTTGGGGTCTAAATATGTCTTTTACAGTGTAACAGCATTTTTTTCGGGTGGCAATTATCCACCTGCGTATTAAATAATCTAAAGTGAATGCAAACGATAAACTTAAATAATATAACCGAAACACCTGTGTACATGGCAGCGCAGTCGCAATGGCCTTTTCGACGTCGCCATAAATGAAAGTTTCTTACGAACACGTGGGCGGTGAAGGGGGTGGTGTTTGGGAAAAGCTTTTGCCACTTGCATTTGTATTTATTTTTTGTTTTCGATTTTTGCGGCCACTCAAATACGCCGGAGAGGTTTTCAATTGTTTCATTCTAAGATCGACTCGATGCGCCTTCAGTCGTGTCCGCGCTAAAATTCTTTTATTTTTATTTATATTTTTTAAATTCTCAAACGGTTTGATAAATATTGTTTTTAGTCGCGTTCAACTGGTTAACCGAAAAATAAAATTTTTAAGCAACAAAGAGCGGTTATTGTGTTTTGTGAGTGTGCCCTAAGAGAAATAAACAATATAAGTTAGTCATGAGTGTTAACTGGTCCTTGGTTTAATTCGCAGGTAATTATGAAAAAAGGCTTTTAGCTAATGCGGTGTAATTTCGAAAAACTGCAGCCAAGTCAAATGCAAACCGGCTGCTGACTCAGAGAGCTACAAGCAAAAGAAAAACAAAGCGCAAAAATTGCAAGTTTTCAGCAAGTCATCAGCGATATACAAAGCTCGAGTGGAGATTTGTCTGTTGACAGAGATCTAAGGCCAAGTCAATAGATGATATTCCGTATACCTAGTGGTAGTTTCCCCGTATGCTAAATCCAAGTCATGATTGATACGATCTGGCTGTGGGTAAGGCCCTCTATGCAAATCATCAATCAATAGGGATTCTGCTTCTACAAAATATAATGCAAGCCATATGATACGAAAGCGTGAACCTTATTATTGGAGTCATGAATAAGATAAGTGTTTTGCAGCGAGTCACATATTATTTGTAAATTGTGTGAATTTAAAAAATATTCTAGTAGAAAAGTTCGTGATTTTCCATGGGATCAAACAAAAACAGAAAAATAATACAAATTTTTTTGTTTGTTAACAAAATTCCAATTCAATATTTTTGGAAATAGATATCCTATAATAAATATTGTTCTTGATACTTTAAATAAAATACTTTTATAAATATTCAAAAGGAATATATTCTTCCTGTATACCATAACTATTTGGAACTAGTTCCATCGATTTGTCAGCATATCGGTTATTTATTTTTATTTGAGCTGTAAATTGCTTGACGCCAACGATCGTTAAAAACATTTGTCTGTCTGGATGCTTTTGCAGAACCCGTTTCTCTGAGGAATTTTTGGCTGCTTCTGCTAAGTTGATGTTGATCTTAATCTTAATTTGTGGTGCTGGCGCCAAAAGAACTTTTTTCTGTGTGTCTTCGCTATTGGAAATTGCATAAAATCAGCATATTTAATGAACGAAACGAAATGTTTTATTTTATTTTGTTTATTTACCTTTTTATTTTTCGCTAAAAGTAGTCATAAGTGGCAGATAAGCGATTAAAAGCATTGATGGAGAAGAGTGTTTTTTTATTTATCAATTTTATGGTATAAAACTAAAATTTTGTAGCGTTCATTGGGTTTCTATCGAGTGGAATTTTCTCTACTGATAGGGGAAATTCACAGCTAGAAAAAAGTAGAATAATATTTGCATTAGTTTTTAAAGTTTTTTGAATAACCCCTAAACAAATCATATACAAATTGAACTTATACAAAGTATTAATACATACTTAACCTATTTTTATATTTCTAATCTTATTTTCGGTTATCTTGTGATATTGTTTTCGGTATTTATAAGCTCTCCCCACCTGGCCACTATCAGTCTGAATGATACCGTTTTGCAGGTTCTATCTGACGCGCATAAACGGTAGCAAATTGACTTGCTTGCAATTGGTTCTAATCTCACCATAGCTGCGGATGAAATAATCGTGCTACAATTAATTTCGGTCACAGAGTTTTTCCTATACCTCTGAATGACATTTTCAATTGGTTAATCGATTGCAATTGTGGGAATTTCCAGTGATTCGATATCCTCAAATAAGGAGATTGTATCTCTCAGGGTAACTGACCTATTCCCGTTTCGTTCCATACATACATTCTCAACGGGAAAGTCACGTAGTTAGTGAATGATTTTTGCCAACAGTGGGTGGCACACGAGCAAATTCCTGACATATTTCGATCAGCACATATACATAGCTATACGAAAAGCCAGATATTTGTTTTATGACTCATTGCGTTTCGTGGAAATTCGTGGCCAGTCAAAATTGAGATATTTTGTTATTAAGAATCTCTTGGTATGAATATAATGCATCCATTCATTTTGGCAGAGGTATATATCCTATATATCCTCTGTTCAGCATAGATCGTATAATTGGGTTCTTGAAAACTCATTAGCGAGCTTTCTGAACTGGCGCCAAATAATCAAGGCGGTTTGAACGTTGACAAGTGCCGCGTTTTTTGCCGTGGATATTGAAACGGAAATGCCTATATAACCCAAAGCCCAAAGCCATATGCCTACTACATATACTCGATACAAACAAATGTACTCGAATAATGTGTTTATATTCACTGCAAAAACAAACAATCCTCTGTTGATGCATTTTATGGTAATTTAAAGATACCTTTGCATCTTTTGCTTAGATTAGGCGCATTTTGCGCGATTTGGTTTTTTCCCTCAATTAAAGGTGACTCAGTTTCGTAGGGTACGATATAAACATAATTGAGCTTTTGTTGTACATTTTTCTTCGATTTTTTTATATGCTACTTTGACAAGTTTATGTTACTACTTTTCCGGTTTCAGCCGGAATTTTTAATGATATGTTACAAACAGCTAAAATCATGCTTTGTTATAACAAACCTTTAAAAATAATAATATTTTAATAAGTATGGAATACCAATTCCATTTACATTGTTACATAGTACTTTTTTATTGAATCAAATGCTTTTAAATCAATAAAATACATGCCAAACTCAATCAATTGAATTTGTTTACACAATTGCCAGCCAAAGTTTATTGACATCGGGAATTAAGTTTTCATTTCCATTTTCTTGCTACACGGTGCGAATAAAGGAAATGAACAAACCATACCAACAAATATGTATATGTACCATTAAATGTTCCTGAAAAATTGGGACAACTGGCTCAACGAAAGAGAAAATTCCTTAAAAGCAAAAGCAATAAATACATGACAAGATACAAATAAACATACATACGAGTGTACATTGTACCTACAAGCCAAAAATTTAAAGAAAATACATTTTTAAAATATTAGAAATAATAAAAATAGCAGAAAGCTCGACGACAAAACTTTTGCTGGGCAGGCGTGCATAAAGAGTTCTGTGTTTTTTCTCAAAAACATTTTGCTCGGTTCAGTGTTCAGACATTTGGCGAGTACTCAAGACGTTTTCCGATCGCGTTTTCGTCGGTTCCGTTAACCAGAGAATATTTTTCTCGATAATACCTATAGATACGAAATATATAAAGATTCAAGACCAAAGCGACAAACTACAAAAAAAACTGTTCGGTGTGCGGTTTTTGAAGAATACAAGTCTCTACATCGAAGTAATAACTCGAAAATAAATTATTCTTGTCCTGTCAATATTATAATTGATTAAATAGTAAAACCGGCTAAATATCCGAATATTTTCAACGTTTATCTGTGCTGTGAAACCGTTTTCCATCAAAGTTTGGCCGTGATAAGTGAAAGGTGATTTATCGCTCAATTCTCTATCAAGAAAAATACGTATGTGTAATATAAATAGGAACTAAATTGCGTTTGTGTTACATTTTTTGGCTTTTTTCCAACTGGCTTTTCATATTTGCCAAATTCAAATTATTTCATGACGTAATTTTTCCCCAAAATTTGTGCAACATGAAAATGTTGATCGGCTTTTGGTCGCAACAATTCTTTTTTCGAACCACAAATTTTTGTGTTAAATTTGTATTATAAAATGACAGCACGTGGGAATGTCTTTTGATTTATTATATTTCTATTGCTTTAAAGGTTATCGTACTTCTCTGTCCTTTGATTTGTTGTTTCTTTAATTAAATTATGAACATTGTCCCATTGAAAGTGATTTATAATCGAAATATATCTAGTTGACGCACAAAAAGCGTTTGGCAGCTGCGAAAACTTTGATCGGGAAATCGAATTCTCTTAGCAAAAAAACATATGTGTGTTCTATACATGAATATTTTGATTAGCTAAAACAAATGTTTTTCTGTATTCCTCAATTACTATTTATTCTTCATTTAGATAAAAAAGTTACCTATATACGTATATCACTTTTTTTACATTTGTGCAAGTTCAAGCTCATAAGTTCATTCCCCGCAATTGCAAAAAAAGTTCTGATACTAATTTAAAAAAAATACGCAGTTATCTGGCTTGTGTTTCTTTTGTTTGGGTTGATTAATATAAACATTCATATTTAAGATTAAACAGCTGATCAGTAAAGAAATAAAGACACTGCTGAATCATAGTATCATATTCTAAGAAAATGGTGTGGTCTTAAATTAATAGGAAACGTTGATTTTAATTATCAAGAAAATGATAATTCCGGAAAAATCTTCTATGATTTCATATTACAGTGCTGATAAAAAAAAAGTTTATTATTCGAAAATGTACTCAATGTTTAAGAGTAAATTTTAAAGATATATATTTATACCCGTTACTCGTAGAGTAAAAGGGTATATTAGATTCGTGCAAAAGTATGTAACAGGTAGAAGGAAGCGTTTCCGACCCTATAAACTATATATATTCTTGATCAGGATCACTAGCCGAGTCGATCTAGCCATGTCCGTCTGTCCGTCTGTCTGTCCGTCTGTCTGTCTGTCTGTCTGTCTGTCTGTCTGTCTGTCTGTATGAACGCTGAGATCTCGGAAACTACAAAAGCTAGAAGATTGACATTTTGCATGCAGATTCTAGGAGTACCTACGCAGCGCAAGTTTGTTTCAAAAGGGTGCTACGCCCCCTCTAACGCCCACAATCGCATATATCCGATTTTAAAAATTTCAATATTTTGGAAAAGTAAAAATGCAGTCTTGTTGTGTTTAAAAATACCTATCGAAATGTAGTAAATCGGACCATTCGTTAAAAAGTTACGGCGGATCAAAGCTTTTATCTCCATCTCCTTCGCATTCCCTTTAGCTGAGTAACGGGTATCTGATAGTCGGGGCACCCGACTATAGCGTTCTCTCTTGTTTTATCTTCTAAAGTTCTTCCCAAAATTTTCGTATATCTTACAACAACAAAATTGGCACACGTTTTCTGGCTTGTACTTTTACCCCCACCGATCAGATCCGTTTGGATCGGACCAATGCATGGGCATTAGTTTTGTCAGCCATTGACGTATTTTACCCACGGCAGACCGATGTCTAGACACGATCAGAGAATAAACTCTGAGGTCACTCAGCTACTTAGTCTTCGTCTATATGTTATATCTTGGTACGTATTTGAATAATCGGCGAACGAAACGTTGACAATGCTCAGAGCCATCATTGATAAAATGTTTTGTTTAGATTGCTCCAAACTCGCAAAAAAAAAAAACAAAATAAAAAGCTCTCCCATCTCCGGGGAGGCCAGTCTGCGAGGCGATCTATATATACGGGCCACCTATATATACCACCTGATATATGGGAGGCAGAGTTTTTGTCGCTTTGTGGCCGCGTTACGCAAAATGTTATTTTTAAACAAGGCGTCCGGAGCTTTAGCCGGACTATACCGGACCAGACCGGGGCCGGATCCGTCCAAAAAGGAAAACAGAGCAGAAACGCACCCACTGCAGCTGCACCAGATCCCGGCGAATATTATGAAAATATACATTTTGCCTAATGACCCCTAAATAGTGCAATTAATTCCGTTCGACCAACACAAAAACATCCACCCACCAAGAATGGAGGGGCTGAATACGATCGGTCTGCGCTGAGAGTTTTCCACCTTTTCAGTATTCTGCCAGACGCTTTACGGCTCGGTTCGTCATAACCAGTGGTCAGGAAAATCTTACTCATATAGCAGATCTCTGCACGAGTCTGAGACTTTATTTTCGATCAGCAGCGTCATCGTCTGGCGTTGTCTGGGGGCCTTCGATTTGCTTGCCAAGGAATTGTTCCTCGGTTGCTATTGGCCATAACTTTAAATCAGAAAGAGGTGCAGAAAATGTAACAAAAGAGTCTATTTTAGTACATTATCTCAAAAGCAGAACATGTGCAATATATTAAAGAAGAAATTGCAATATTTTCCCTACAAAACATATTTTTCCTCTGTTGAAGATTGTAGAACTAACACTTTCCTAAAGAAAAAAATATATAATATAAGCATCTTGAGAAGCTAAAACATATTGCGAAAAGTTTTATGATTTTAGGTTAATTATCCTAAGAGTAGTTCTAATCATTGCTAGTCTAAAAAATATCCATTTTATATTTTTCAAATTACAAATTTTGTATCTAGTTTCTTCTTTTACTTTCAGTTAATTTTGGCCACGCAATGTTTCCCAACCAGAACAACGTAGCGGCTTCTGGACAGGGTCCATCGGCCGATGGCCAACAGAGCCTCAACTACAACGGACTGCCCGCCCAGCAGCAGCAGCAACAACAGCAATTGTCACAGTCGACGAAAAATGTGAGGAAGAAACCGTATGTCAAGATCACCGAGCAGCCGGCGGGAAAGGCCCTGAGATTCCGCTACGAATGCGAGGGTCGCTCCGCTGGTTCCATTCCTGGCGTAAATTCCACGCCGGAGAACAAGACCTATCCGACAATCGAGATTGTGGGCTACAAGGGACGCGCCGTGGTTGTCGTCTCCTGTGTAACCAAGGATACGCCATATCGGTGAGTCGATTTTTGTTTTAGCAAATAAATACTTGTATATCCTTACAGAAGGCATTACAATTTTTGTCAAAAGCTTGCAAGGCAGTGAAGTGGAAAAGCCTTTCCGACTTCCTAAAGTATACATATTCTTTATTGTCCGTCCGTCTGATCGTCCTTTTTTACGCGAACTTTTTTCTTAATAATAATAGGAAAATCTGGACTTTGATATCAAAAAGCCAAAAGTCATAGAAACAATCTGCAGAGCACATAAACTGTAATTTTCAATCAACTATCATTTCAAATGTTAGTAGAGTCCCTTTTACTAAAAGTAGCTTTTAAACCTAAAAAAATATAGATCTGCACCTACTATTTGTTAAACATGCGGAGGAGAATACGGCTCACAATAACATTAAAGAAATATATTTTATTTTATATTATTTTCCGTTTCTAACTGCCATTACTTAAATCGAATTTGTTTCCTTTTATTTCAGTCCTCATCCTCACAATCTGGTGGGCAAGGAGGGCTGCAAGAAGGGTGTTTGCACACTGGAGATTAATAGTGAGACAATGCGAGCCGTTTTTAGTAACCTGGGCATTCAGTGTGTCAAGAAGAAGGATATTGAGGCAGCACTCAAGGCGCGTGAGGAGATCCGTGTGGATCCGTTTAAGAGTAAGTGGAACTACTTTAAATTAAACAATTTTGAAGATTAAGCTAAATTATTTATCCCACCTTTAGCTGGCTTCTCGCATCGATTCCAGCCCTCGAGTATCGATTTGAACTCGGTGCGATTGTGCTTTCAAGTATTCATGGAGAGCGAGCAGAAGGGCCGATTCACCTCGCCCCTGCCACCGGTTGTTTCGGAGCCCATCTTCGACAAGAAGGCCATGTCCGACCTGGTCATCTGCCGGCTGTGCAGCTGCTCGGCCACCGTCCTCGGAAACACCCAGATCATCCTGCTCTGCGAGAAGGTGGCCAAGGAGGACATATCCGTGCGGTTCTTCGAGGAGAAGAATGGCCAGAGCGTTTGGGAGGCCTTCGGTGACTTTCAGCACACCGATGTGCACAAGCAGACTGCCATCACCTTCAAGACGCCGCGCTATCACACCCTGGACATCACAGAGCCCGCCAAGGTGAGGGATTAGTTATTATTATCATTTATTCCAACAATAATGATATTCTGTTTCACTAGGTGTTTATCCAACTGCGACGTCCCTCGGACGGAGTCACCAGCGAGGCCCTGCCCTTCGAGTACGTGCCAATGGACTCAGGTAAACATACGTTCTGGAATCTTCATCGGCACCTCAAGCGGAAGCCCGACGAAGATCTCTTTCAGCAGATCCTCAGGTTGGACGCCAAGCGGGAAGTGCAGGCGCCAACGATTGAGGTCATCGATTTGGATACACCGAAACTAGAGGTGCAGCATAGGCTACCTTTGGATGTGGACTTTAACCAGGAGGAGTCCCAGCAAGAGGAGCCAGCCTTTGAGCAAGAGCAACCCGTAGAGCAATATACACAAGAGCAATCTTTACAGCAGGAGCAATACTTACAGCAGGAGCAATCTTTTCAGCCGGTGGAGCCTATGCAGCAGGAACTGCCAGAGCAGCAATCCTTGGATCAGACCTCGGATCATATGCCCGAGGATATGGAGGCGGCGGATGCCCAGGCTGAGGCCGAGGCCCATCGCCTGCGTTCGGAGCAGGAAAAAGAGATTGACACCATTATCGACGAGAAGGTGCGGGAACTGGAGCAACTGGATCTGGGCCAGCACTTGGAGCCGCGTCCCTTGACGGCCAGCGATAAGATCACCGAGTGGATGAAGTCCAGCGAGATCGAGCAGCAAGGCCACGAACCAAGTCCCACTGCGGAGGAATCAGACGTTTTGGACTCGGCCCTTGAGATTTCCAAGACAGATAAGACCCTGGATGATCTGCTCGAGACGGTGGCCGAACTGGATGAGATTTACACGGACTTCAAGGTCCAGCGCGATACGTACAATAATACCATTCAAAACGAGTTGGCTGGCATTGAGGGACGTGCTCCGCTGCAGGTGGAGGATAGTTTCGATGACGCTGCCACCTATACCAGCCTGCAGATTGCTTTCAAGAATCCCGTACTCATACCCATGGAGGACATAATGCCCCCGACGCCGCCCATGTCGCAATGCGCCCCCGAGGATGCCCATCAGCACTACGATCCCGTGGAGGTGAACTCGCAGGCAAGCAAGCCAGAGTCCAGTCCATTGCGACCCGTCCCTCCAGCACCGCCAGCCATTCTGACAGTTCCATTTCCGCCGGAGGAGGAGAAGCTGCCGCCCTTGCCACCGAAAAGGATCCGCAAGCAGGACAGCAATGCGGAGAATCGTTCCATCGAGGCCAATACGGTGCAGGCCAGGCCATCCACAGCTGAATCTCCCCTCAACAAGAGACTCCCTCCCGCTCCAAAGAATCCGAACTTTAACACCCTGCCCAGGCAGAAGAAGCCGGGATTCTTTTCGAAACTCTTCTCGCGACGCAAGAGCAAACCGGACTTGGCCCAGAGTCAGGGGCTGGAGAGCGGTTCCTTGCTGGACTCCAAGGCGACCAGTCGGGAGCCCAGCATAGGACACTTCAACATGCAGGATCCGATGAGGGCATCCCTGCGCTCCTCCAAGTCGGCGGCTCCGTTCATCTCCAGTCCAGCACCAGCAACAGACAAGTCCAGTCCTGTGAAGGCCAAGAAACCGGGATCGAAGCTGACCAAGCCCGTGGGCAGGAGTGTGAGCAGTGTTTCCGGAAAGAGACCCGCTTACCTAAACGCCGATGTGGTGCACATACCCCTGAAGGGCGACAGTGTCAATAGTTTGCCCCAGCAGCAAAGAAACGAGGGCTACTCCCAGTCCAGCACGATTTCGATGGGTGCCGGTCTCGATAGACGCACTGCGTCCGCCTTGCAGCTGGCTGAAATACCAATTAGCGAGGGCGGCATGGAACTGGTGGCCATCGCCGATCGCCAGAGTCTGCACAATTTGGTCAGCTCCATCGAGGGGCACTTTAATGTTCAACTGGATCCCAATCTGGATCTTACCGAGGCCGAGCACTTCGCCTTGTACACGAGTATTCCGCCAATTGCTGCGGCCAGTGAATTCGACGAGACCTCCGCCTATTATGCTCCCGTGGATGCTGGCGAGATATTGACTCCCGATGAGGTCGCCAGGCGATTGGCGGCGGCAAATGGCCTCTAAATTTTGTTGAGAATATTGTTTATAGGCAAACGAACCGAGGGAAACCCTCTAACGAAACCCAAAAATCGAAGAAAGTTGGAAAGTCAAGTCAGAGGAAATTGTATTTTCCCGGAATCCATTTTCATCCTCTCTGGCGCCACAAATTGTCCACTTGTGTGAGGGAATCTGAAGCGAAATCCCTCTTCGGAACCCTCCAAAATTTGTATTTGTTTTATATTTGATAATTGTGCTAAACGTATCCCTGAATATTTTGTAAGCGATACCAGGCAAAAGACCCGAAAAAAGGGTCAAACCAGATTTGTTATTGTCCAGGTGGCCCATTTAAAGGGCCAACCTACCTATTGTATTTAAGCGAAATCACTCAATTTTCAGAGTAGAGTAAGATTTCCCAATGGAATCGAATATATTGTTTAAATTGAAACCGAAAACCCGATTATATGTACCTACAACGCGGTGTATATATTTTGTCTTATAGATCCAGCGCACTTGAGGCGGAAACGTCAGAAGACTGGCGGTGATCCCATGCACCTGCTGCTCCAGCAGCAGCAGAAACAGCAATTGCAGAACGACCACCAGGATGGCAGTAAGTTGACTGTTGAGATTTTCCCTAAACTGGTGTCGGTCTCCTCTATCCTACCCTCTATTGTGTCTTTCTCGACTATAAGTCCACTTTTTCCCGAGTGTGTTTGGATCCACTGGGGTGCATACTTTGTTTTGAGATGCTAGCCATCTAACTGAATCCTACCTAGTCGAATATCTTTATATATTTGATGTTTTTTCGGTATACCAAAGACTTAAATTGACAGGTCATCGCCTCTGATGATGTATTAATCGAATAGACTCTTAGCAACTATTAGAAAGCACTCACTCACTGCACACACTCACCCAAAAACCAGGAGAATACTATGTCTAGGGGAGAGAGTCCCTAATATATTTATATATTGATTTACATCTATAGTCGAAATTGTAGTCAAGGATGTGAGATTGTTTTGAAATCAGCAAGAAGTTTTTGTCGCTTTTCTACTCGTTTAAATGCGAAGAATATTTGATATTTTTATATAATGAAAAATTACAAGTTTGGTAAAAATATTTTGTATAAAATATTGTAGCTTAATAAAACAGAAAAAAAATAAGTTGAAGAAAAAAAACCAAAAGTGAAAACCAATCTCTTTTATTCCAACGGAACTGTTTTTAGGTTGAAGTAAGTTTTGCTCTAGGGTTTCTTACTTCGAAGAAGTTTATTACAGTTCCAAGTAAGTTTTTATCAGAGTTCATACAAGTTTGGGTTTTTAATTCTTTGTTTTAGTCTTTGATCTGACTTTTAACATTTTATTTTTATTATTCAACCGTTTCAAATGATTAGTCAATTAATTTAAGTTTAACCATTGTTTGCGTGATGTTTTTCTGTTATGTCTTTTGACTGCATTTTTAACCAATAACATTTTCTTATGCTTATTTTGGGTTTCGGCTATTTGTTGTTTCGTTGAGTATTGTATTATGTTTACTTTATTGTTTGATATAAAGAATTATTTTTTATTTTTTTAATTTATTTATATTTTTCTAACATTTAATTTTAATGCTTGCTCTTTTAGGACAAAATAACATGAACTGCTGGACTCCACAGAACATTCCGCCCATTAAAACGGAACCAAGAGGTAAGTTTATTGTCTTGAGAATCATTTCTCCATATTGAGAATTAATGTATATAACTCAGCCAAGGGAATTATATATGGGCACTTCCAAAAAAAAGTCCACCAAGCCAAAAACCTTGAAACTTGAATAAAACATATTTCCACATGATTTTGCCCCGATATTACTTTCTAATTAGTTGGATACTGAGCTTAACTACAAATTTGGAGTATAGTTTGATTATTTTTATGACAAACTCCACCAATATACGCAAAAATCAGTTTTTGGCTATTTTTTTGTTATTTTTTGGACCTGTCTTCTGTTGTTAATTTATCCTATAGGAATGCTAATATGTAACATTTTTCTGTACTGAATGCTTCATTCACATGCTAAACTATTAAGTTAAAAGCAAAACATCCAGCAATTGAGAGATAGAGGTAAAGAAATCCGCTTCACACAACAGTCGGAAAAAATGTCCCGAGCGACATGTCCCGAGCGAATGTGGTTGAAACTGCATAAAAAAAAAACGGCAAAGAATTTTTGAGTAAAACCAAAAGTATTTCACAGCGACATGTTTGAACAACATTCTAAAAAAAATCGCATTCAAATATTCCATCAGAATTTGCTAATTTCTGGTGTTGTATGAACTTCCTCGAAATCCACTTCTATTTTTGTCCCGAGCGAATACGGCAGTTTTTTACCGATATCTTAAAAACTAAAAGTGGTACAAAAATAAGATTTTTACCAAAAATAGAGCTTGGGAAGAGTGAAAAGAAAAGCCCATAATTAAAATTAAAATCCATTGTTTTACAATTTATTTTCAACTTTAAAGGTGTGCAAATGTCCCGAGCGACATTTTGGAAGTGCCCATATATTCTTGATCAGCATAACAACCGACTAGATTTGGCCATGCTCTTTGTTGTCCTATGTTAGTCGTTTCTACGAAACTAGTCTTTTAGTTTTTAAGTTTTCAGGATGAAACTTTCCATAAGACGTCTTGTATTGCATTTAGCTTATAACATTTACATACATAGGTCGGAACCTTACACCTTTTTTTTAATTTCTAAAAAAAAAAATGTTCAATTCGGATAACTACATTAGTAGCTTTAGCCAGATTTTTTAAAAGATTACATTTTAGGTCCCTAACGTTTCCCGATTTTTAAAAGGGTTAACAAATTAAGCCTTTAAAAAAAAAAGGTTTTTATTGTTTTAAACATGAGGACGAGAAAACGGTAAATGAAATATTTTTTAAAATGTAGGGATCTTTAAAACTGATTTTGCTCAGATCTGCGAGCTTGGAATTTACTCATAGATTTATTGAGGGCTACTTAAAACACAAGTCGATTTATTTTACTTTAATAGGAAAATAATAGGAAATTATTAAAGCTTCATTGATTTTAAGTAAGTAATATGTACTTCATTCCATTTGCATGACTTTTGTCTTGTCAAAGTACGCTTCCTCTATTATTTTTTATAACTTAATCTCGAAATAATTCTTTTGAATTCGTGTATATTAAAATATTAAAAATATTTCCGATAATTTTGTAGATACCTCGCCACAGCCTTTTGGCCTTTCTTATCGGGCACCTCCTGAGCTTACCCCCTCGCCGCAGCCGCTGTCGCCTTCGAGCAACTACAACCACAACAGCACACCCTCGCCCTACAACATGGCCACTTCGGTGACGCCCACCAACGGGCAGCAGCAACTGATGTCGCCCAACCACCCACAGCAACAGCAGCAGCAATATGGGACAACAGACCTGGGTAACAACTACAATCCGTTTGCACAGCAGGTCCTTGCACAACAGCAACACCAGCAACAGCAACAGCAGCAGCATCAACAACAGCAGCAACATCAACAGCAGCAGCAACAGCAACAGGCCTTGCAGTTCCATGCCAATCCATTCGGTAATACCGGAGGCAACAACTGGGAAAGCAAGTTCACGGCTGCAGCTGTTGCAGCAGCAGCAGCAACTGCGACAGGAGCAACACCTGCCAACGGCAACAGCAACAATCTCAGTAATCTCAACAATCCCTTCACCATGCACAACTTGCTGACATCCGGGGGAGGACCTGGCAGCAATCTGCAGTGGAACCTGACCCCAAATCATATGGTAAGTTTATCAGGAATATTAATTATACTTAAAAAGTAGAAAATAATGAAAATAAAAATGTATTTATTAAATTACAGCACAATCAGCAAACGCTTCATCAGCAGCAACTACAGCAGCAAAATGCCCCGCCCATGCATCAGTACGACAATAATGCGCCCAGCAACAATAATCCCAACAACGGCAATACCAACAATAATAATAATAATACCGCCGGCAACCAAGCGGATAATGGTCCCACGATCAGCAACCTGCTTAGCTTTGATAGCGGGCAATTGGTTCACATAAACTCAGAGGATCAGCAGATACTGCGCCTCAACTCGGAAGATCTGCAGATATCAAACCTATCCATATCCACGTAATACCTAATTGAAACGAACCCAATACACAGTAAAAAAATACAAAGGGGCAGTAGGATGAAGATGATAATGATGTAGAATTAAATTTGTCGACCTGGTCGTCGTCTAATTGATTGTTTTAGTGTTGTAATATCTAGTCCTAAGGCAAAATGTAATATGTGTGTTTTTGTAGAAAATAAGGTTTTTTAAATATGAATAAATTAATCGTTAGCAGTACTCGTGGTCGTTTCTGTTTTCTGTTTCGCCAATAAAGCAAAATCCTTATCTGGCTTATAATGAGGATACATTTAACTTAATTGCATATAAATTGTCATTACAAAAAAAAGTAGGAAAAATGTTGTGTAATGAACTGTAAAATAATGAGAAATTAGTGAAAATGATAATAAGCCAGTTTTTCAGTGCTATTTAAAACTCCGATCCAAGTCGTTGTTGAAGCAAAATTGAAAACTAATATGAACTCACAAAGTTCGGCGCTACAAGGTTTAATATTTTTAATTTTATATCAAATAAATTCGGTAAGTTTTAAAAGTGAAAGATTTCGCTTATGTCTAATAGTAATGTTTCAAAGATAGAAGGTCGTATGGAATTTACAAATGTAAAATGTACTCCCGTGGATAAGGATTTTAGCGATTTCGAATATTGCTATCTGAAAGCTGCAAACCGCACATATAAATACTTGTCACTCAAGGTTCGGCTGTACAAGACACCAGTTCATCAATTTTCGGTACGATAAAAGTACAATATTTTTTAAACATGTCCCTTTATATTAAGTTAATATTATCTCTAGGTGAATGTTGCGTTCAATAAGCGGTCGAATGGTCTGTTGCCGATTAACTATAATGTAACTTTTAATGGCTGCAAAATGGTAGCCGATATCGGGAACCCCTGGATGACATTTTTGTTCGGCGTGATTAAAGAGTACTCAAACATTAACCATTCATGTCCCTATGATGTTAGTTCTTTATTCTGTGTAGTCTTTATTTTTAACATTTCCTTTTTAATTTCAGCATGATCTAATTGTGGATAAGCTGCCCGCTCAATTCTTTCAGCAACGATTCAAAGCATTATTACCATTTCCTGAAGGCGATTATGTTTTTAATAGCAATTGGATAGCATACGGTATAAATAGGGCCAATGTGAGGGTCCACTTTTCGTATTCGTAATTTAGCTAAATGATAAACTCAGTTTGGATATATTCATACAATGCATATGTTTTACTTTTAATCTTTGTGGGGCCTTTAGGGGCCAACAAGATGGTAATAGTCTAGAAGAGCGGCCTGTGCCCCAAAAATCGCAAAAAAATTACCCTCGATGGACCGCGATTTCTTAAGAATTTACGTGTGGAAGATTATCGACGAAAATGCATGGTTCTCTTGCAATTGCATTTTAAAGTTTTGGGATTTTTGGACTATTACAGAATTTTTTTTCAAAGTTTTTGGTTTAAGTTATAAGAGAATTAAACAAAAATAAAGCATCTCCATATATTTGCTTCTACCAAATGGATTTTTTTTTACTTTTTAAAAAACATATTTAAATGGTATATTATGATAGAAATACCATCTCAATACGTTTCACACAGAATCACCCATATGTATGTATGTATTGTAAGACGCAACATTCTATTTTATGTAATTATTTTATAACACTGCCAACAAAGATTTAATGAGCAATATCAATCTGAACGAATAATATTGAAAATCTAAACAAAAATAAGAAGCAATCATAAACTAATAAACGAACTTCTAAATTCAAGTAACTATTAGATGGGGCTTTTCTTCTCATGATCTTGATCCTTATCGACCTTCTTTAAATCATCATGGTCATCATCAAGAACATTTTGCGAGCCCTGTGTAAAGAGTCCCTTCAGTCTGTTAACCGCCCCTGGAAACGAAGGTGACGGTGGCGGAGTGCCGGGTAGCATATAGTGGGCCACAAAGTGCAGCATGCGATAGGTGGCATGCTGGTAGGCCTGACTCTGGGCAAAGCACTGACGGATTCTCTGACCCAAGGTGGCGGCCAAGCAGTTCTGGAGAGTTACCAGCTGTTCCTCCTTCTCCTCGATTGAACGTTCCATCTTCACAGTTTGTTCGAGCAGTTTGCTGGATAATTGGGATAAATATACTTAAATGACACTGAGTCATTGGACTTTGGTTTCCTCACCTGTATTGCTCATCGGATCCCCGCTTGAGATCTTCCAGTTTGGCCATGTTTTCGCGCAGCTGATCGATAAAATCCCGTTTGAGTGCCAAATCGATTTGGAGAAGATCCAACTGGCGGACCAGTTCATCCTGTGCAGACTGACTCTCCTGATAATCGCGTTGCAGGCGGGTCAATTGCTCCAACTGCTTCCGCTGCTCGCTATTCACCTGAAAGAGTTCAACCTTAAGGGACTGCTGCATCTCCTGCAAATTCCCGATGTCCTGGTCCTTGATGGCCAACTCCTCGGCCAGTTTCTCCTTCTCCGCCCTGATCTGCACCACCATTAGACTTAGTTCCTCGTAGGAGAGCTTCGTCTGGGCATTGTCACGATACGATTGCCTCAGCTGATCATTTAGGGTTTCATTGCGACGTTTCTCAACGGAAAATAGCGAGTTATAGACATGCAATTGGTTGCGATTCTTGACGAACTTTGAGGATAATCAATATAAGAATCAAAAGTATTTAAATATAATTTTAAATCGATTCTTACACTCTTCTTATAGTCCTCCACCTGATCAGTGAGTTGACGAACCTCCTCTCGCCTTCGGCGCCAAGCGTGCAGCATAATGGTGTTAAAGATCCTCAAGCTGGCGACCCGGGAATCCTGACCTGGACCAACTACAAAGCTCATCTGTCCATCAATTAAAGCGTTGGCCATGGCCATGGTGCCCTCCAGTCCAGAGGCTCCAGATGATTTCTGCGACAGCTCCTGGACAGAATTCGCTGGTGAGGGCACATGGGCCACCAGCTGGTAGTTTCCGGTGCGACGAGCCTCTTTAAAGTCCATCTGGGACAGAGACTTGCGCACCCGGAAATTAATCAAAGCCGATGTCTGCTGACGCTTGAGGGTCAAGTACGGGGTCAAGGAACTGGGCTGCCGGAGCAGGCTAGTCTTTGGCATAACCGTGTAGCTGGATTGCCCATCGCTGGACACCGTGGTAGTCATGGAGTTATCCGATGACGAGGGTGTCAGTAGCAAAGCCTCGGGTATTTTCTTTAGCACCTTTTGGTTGTTCTTCTTGTCAGCTAACCTAATAGGGGAATAAACATCTAATAGATAAAAGAATCATCTATTAAAGTGGGATCCGTGATCCTTGAACTCACCCATTCTCCTTCTTCAAGTTGCGCTGCCCCAAAATGTGACGCTTCTTCGCCTGTGTGGAAATAAGTGACTTGGAGTAGAGCGCTCTGGGCGATCCTTTCTGAGGGATCGAACTCAAGCTAGTTTGTTTTCCTTGACGAATGCGTGGACTTTTGGGCAACATCGTTATCAAAGTTAATATTCAAACTCGAAAGGAACTAGAGAGGAAAACAATAACTTTTGTACTTTTCTCAAATCACACAGAAACCAGTAAGGAAAATGAATTCTAGTTATAGAAGCTGTCGGGCAACTAATGAAGTTAAAGGAAAGGCCAACTAAAAACATTCCTTCGCTGAATAGTTGAAGGCCCGACAAAAGTTTTGTAATAACTTTATATCAATAGAAAATCAGTAACATTAACAATCTCGCGAGCTATGTATTTATTAATACTATTCTGCAATTTAACAAGATAATTTTTTTGTAAGAGTGGCCAATTTAAAAAGGATTTAACTAGTCATTCAGTATTCATTAATTAAATAATTTCTCTAAATGGTTATAAGAAGTGTTTTATTATTTAACTAATATCCCTAAATTGTTGTAAGATAATACGGATTTCTTTAAACTGTTTACTTTCTAAATTTATGTACACGTCTTAAAGAAATCCGTCCTATTGCCACATGAAAACTTTCAGTCCAGCAAATAAGCATTGGGTTCAAAGGAAAGATATCCTGTTGCGAAGTTTGTCCCCCGACCGCTTAGCCAGCACATCCGGTTGGGTTCTCACACATCGTGAGTAACATAATGCTGTGGCGGCATCCGCTTTTTTATTTTGCGGCTCATTTTCCATTGGGGCAGCAATTTCCGCTAGATTGGGCGCCAAATGTGCGTTCAAATCGAGTTCACCACAAAAAGCTCAATTTGTTTAAAACTCACCTCGCCTGCGCAGGCAGCAAAAGCTTTTGGCCCTACGACAACTTTGTATACTTTTGTTTTTGCTTTTCTGGGGGTGGCTGGGTGGCCGATTGCAGGGGGTGGTGGGTAAAAGACTACTCTGCGTGGTGGCCAAGGCGTCGGCGGCTTCATTAACGGTTCGTCGCTGCTGGCAAACGGTTCTTCGCCTCCTCACAAAATCCACCTGAAAAGTTTGAATAAATTAATATTTCGAAAAAGTAACGTAATTTAAAACCGAAAAATACTCATAAAACCTTTGAAAAATTAATCTAAATAAATTCATTTAAGGAATTGAATTCAAAAGTGCTTCAGTGTATGAGTGTGTATCAGTGGATGTGTGTAATTACAAAAATTCCCAAACGAACATTAAAATTCGAAAATCTAAACTAAATATCGAAAATTAAACAAAGCATATTGAATTATTGCCACGGCTGGAAATTCTGATTTAGGTGAGTTCTGCCTATAAATAATCTTTTGCTGTTCGATTACAAAATTCCGATTTGTTTATAAATAATTAAGAGCGTATTCGCCCAAGCCAGAACATCAATGAAATTGGGTTTATCCCAGCAGACCCATTAAAGCCCAAACAGGTCTCCCGGGATCTTACTCATGTTTGATCTCAGTTCCCAGGTGCTTACGTCTTGGGGAAAAAGTTACTTAATTACAAAAATTAAATCATCACTCGATCATTTACAAAATCAACGTCATATTCTGGTGACCTGTTTTGCGGTTAAGACTGGAACCCTATTAAAGCCAATCAAAAGATACTGACGTGTTAACTGGAATCAAGTTGATCCAAACGGCGCGCGCCTCTTTTTCCGAGAATTCGTGTCGCCTGCTATTATTTAGAAACGATATTCCAGGAATATATCTGCACTATTAAGGGGGTAAAAAATGGACCATTTTAGTTGCAGTTGTAACACTTAAATTCAAATTAACCTATAAATAGAAAATATTTATTACCGCGAAACATGTGCAAAATATAATTCGTTTTGTCTATAATGATAAAATTTAGGTTTGATGCCGTGAATTATTTATGTTTTATTATTATTATTTTATTTATAAAAAAGGTTTTCTTAAAACTTTATTTTAAAAGTTAAACAAAGTGCAAAGAAAAACTTTTTTACCTGCTGTTGATTGTAAATGTGTAATCATGTCTTTTTTATCAATAGAATTTTGTTTATCTAGCGCAGTTCAAAATTCTCGAAAGATCACATTTCGTTAAATAAAGCTCATTATGGAAATTTCTTTACCTCAAAAGATTGGCGTCACCCTTGGATGAACAAACGACACCAGCCATAAAAGTGACCTTTGAACAATAAATTCACATTCCTCGAACGGAAAAAAAGCAAACAGACATGCACCAAGGCAAATAAATTAGAGAAAAACTTTGCAAGTGCAGTTGCGATTGAGGATTCGGTTCCAGTTTCAGTTCTAGTGAGAAATGCCAATAAGTTTTAATCCCCATCCCGCCCACTCGTTTCCCTTGCCTTACAAATTGCTGAGACATTAATTAATTAAGAATGTTTACGCTGTATCTTGTTGTTTTTCTGTAGCTACAGCTCGCAGAAGTTTTTTTTATTCTCTAAAAGCAAAACAAAATTGCCGTCTATCTCCGTTTGTGTCTAAGTTACCTTAACTTGTGAAATGATGGAGTCAGTGCCTTCGAGACTTGGGATCAGACAACCTTGATATGGTCACAATAAAGCGCATACACAGAAAAAAGAGACTTTAAATTTTTAATTTTAAGGAATTTTTAAACTTGAATTTAAAATTACCAAAACTATAAATACTATTATAAAAATTAAAAAACTTTTAAAGCAATTAAAACTATAAAATTAATAGTTTTAATCGCTTGCTAATTGTTTAATCTAACAATTGCTAATAGAAAATTTGTTAAATTTGAGAATTAAAATGTATTTTACCAGTGTATAAAGTGCAACACAAACAAACTCAACATTGGTAACAAAAGCTCCACATTGCATGCGGAACTCCAGCGCTTTATAAACAACTCCTGCAGTTACGAATTATTTAATGTGGCAATGCAAAGTGACTGGGAACTGGAATGGCAACCAGACCCCCCGTGCCACCTAGTCCAAAAAATTTCCCACTCTCCGGAGTTGACGATCGATGTTAAGCTCTCTCGCCGTGTTGCTCTCAGCAGATTTCCGCATGGACAAACAGTACAACACATTCGATATAAGGCCCCAACGGAAAGTGAAGGTGTGCGAGGGGTACAATTGTGTTTGGTGAGCCGCAGATATTTCGTATTCGTATATGGGTAAAGTGATGATTCATCCGTGGTTCGGGGAATCCAAAAGCCAATCAAGTGCTGCAAAACCAAAAACCAAAACATGGCAGACGGACAGGTTTTTTCCACCGATTCCTTTTTGTATGTCACGCCAAAGTTTTGCCAATTCGTAGAGTATTTTATTGAATATGTTTATCAAATTTAATGCTTAATAAACATAAGGCGAACTACACTTTAATTTATACTATACAGCTTACAAGCCCTCATATCAATACAAATAATTTTAACCAGAATTCGAGAAATCTGTTGTATTCCTTATATGGTAGTCTTAAGAATACATTATCAAACTACCGTATCAGTAAACGACTCCCTGTTATTTTTTTTTTTCTAAGTTGAGCTGTGGTCCGTGACGTATGTACTGTTTTCATATTTTTCGCTATAATTGCTCACTGCTTTTGGATATATTTAACACCCTAAGGGGCGATTCAAGTGTTTGTCGGAGGGCATTTGAATTCGACGTAGTAAACTGAGTCATATTTTATCATGTTTTTCTGATGGGCAAACATTTTGAGTTCGTTGGTAATATTGCTGTTCATGTTATTGATATGCTTCTCTCCATCCGCTTCTTTCCCCTTATCGCCGAATGACTTGAATGTTAATGCTATGAGCGCTTTGTTTCTCTGCCTCTTTTGAGGGTGGCGGCGACCTTTCAGCTTAACTCTATCATTGCTAGAAACATAAAACAATGAACTGAGATTACTAGGAATTTTTATATCTCTGAACACAAATTTCTTCTTTAAAAAAATTTTTATTTTAGCAATAAAAAGAGAGAACGCTATAGTCGGGTCTGTGTCCCGACTATCTTATACCCGTCACTTGGCTAAAGGGAGTGCAAGGGAGATGGATAAACAAAATTTTTTTGATTGCGCTAATGCTTTTTTTAATGTTTTATTTACACTACATAAAAATATTATATTTTTCTTTCTGTGCATAAATTTTGGCCTTAAACTGGCGCTGACTGAAGAGGAGCAATAAAAGCGGCAGCAACAACAAGTGGTTGCTCAACTATGCGCTCCACTGTTACCCCCTTCCCCTGCACCCATCCGCCCTCCGATTTCTTTGGGGCTTGGCTTTGTTTGTCTGCAGTCTCTCTCTCTCTCTCTGCCTCTGCCTCTCACTCTTTCTGTTAAACGATGTCCCGCTTACGCGTGTGACCTTGAATAACACATGTGCCAGAATTGCAGGGGGTTTCGATTGGGTGGAGAGGCAGGTGGATGTGGTCGTTGAGTCTTTGACTTCTCCTCTCTCTTTTCTTCTTCTTCGCGAGTGCATAAAGCAAGCTTAATAAAGAGTTCGAGATTTTTGTGACGTCTGCTAGAGTAACTGCTACGTCATGGGATATTCACCATACAGAAACTGGATTGCGGTAGCTGCACAGATCTCTTGCTGAATTATTTTCTTTTCTTTAATTTAGTGGTAAATAAGATTTATTTTACTATTTCTGTAAAATTTGATCATGCAAGGAGGAACGACGATTTCGGACGATCACATTTATTGAAATTTTATGTCAAGATTATTTGTAACATTTTTGATCCAAATTACTAGCAAGGTGCAATTACAATACAATTTAAGAAATTCATATTCAGTGTCAAGTACTTGACATATTTTATACCTAATAAATTACTATAGTAATTAGCTCAGCATTTTTTAAATTTATATACTTAAAAATGTTTTAACCTTATTCAATTGTTTTTAATATACTTATATATATGTAAAAATTATACAATTTAAAAGTAAAATAATATTTTAGTCAACTATTATTTTTTACAAGTCAGCAGGCGTTCATATTTTTTCTGGAAGCCCGTATAGACAATTGGCTCACAAAATGCATTTTCCGCACAGACCGACCCACGCTACATGGAAACTTTGTTTTTAGTTCAGAAATCCGTGGGCCAGAAATAAATTATACTATTTTCATTCAAGCAAAACAATAATGAAATATTTCTACACGATTGGCAATGTTAACTGCAAATATTTTCTCCTATATTTTTGGCCTGCACTTGTGTTTATTTAAATGACTAAAATCTGTCGATTGAACAGAAGCCAAAAATTGAGTTAATAACTCAGTTCGACCTTAGATGCTGGCGAATATTGTTTGGTCTTTTTGGGGAATTTTGCTTGCGTGAATTAGCAACGTTATATGGATTTTATAATTTACATTTGCCGAGGGTCAAGCTAGATTCAGGTCTGTCAATTCCTGGGAAAATCAATAAAAATATTCAGCTGTCATACCTATATTTAATAAGATCTATTGTTATGCATCTGGTGAAAATCGAATGTTTATTTTTCGGACATCGAAGCCAAGAAACCGACATGAATCATTTGGGAACACGCTCTTTTTCTATATGATCTTATGGAATCTCTTTGATCTTAATGAGTCTAAAAACGTGATAATTTTCAAAGTAGTTTAAGCATTGAAAGTACTTTTTACGCTTTCTTAATGAGAGTAGTTTTCAAGTGAAACAGCATTTCGAGAATTCCGAATTTTTATGGTACTTTTGAACCATTCATAACAATACATATTTATTTCTTGCAAAAAATCCACTTTTTTAGGGCAATCAATGTTTATTTATAGCCGAAAATCGAAATTGGAACACCTGCAGAGCGTTATAAAAATCTCATCACTTTTCCAAATCCACTTAAAAATCTATAACCGTTTTTGCGCTCGGTTACGTCAGAGAACGGCATTCAAAAATCGAAAAATAGAAATGAAAACAAAACGAAGAATACGCACAGTGGAAATAAATAAATAAATGAAAAGTGAAGCAGGGTGGAAAATGAAAACAGAAATGGGGAGTCATTGATCAGCGTTCATATCAGCGGTTGTTAATTTTTTATCAAGTATACGTATCAAGTATACGTAGCGAGTCCAGGCGATCGCCAAGAGCGAACAGCTGAGAGCAGAGCACCAACAACCGAAGCCAAAGCTCTCTTGCAATGAAGTGTAAACCGTACCGCTCAGTTTCAATCTGAACTTTGCCGCCGACGGATGTGAATACGAAGCGCCGACTTAACCACTATATAAAGAGTATTGTGCAAGTCGCACGCGACTATATAAACGCTAAAGTATTGGTTAATTATACGCAACACGACAACTACAAAGTGAACTACAGATGTGTGTATAAATCAATGTCCGCTTTTAACAGGCGGCTGCAGTGCCAATAAAAATAAAAATAATATATAAAGCTAAGCAACTACGGCGTTTGCTGGAGCAACTTTTGTTTTTGTTTTTAATTTCTTCATACATTTTTGGCGCGCCTTTTGTGAGTGAAGCGCGCGCGATAAGTCGGACAAACAAACCAAAAATCAAGGGAATCATAAAAAACAAAATTTAATCAATTACACGTGTCGGCACAAACAAAGAGATAATTCGATTATTGTCTCGCCAAGTGCAGTCGGATCAAAACACAAAATTCAATCTGAACGTAATAAAATTGTTTTCGCAGAATACCATTCCATAAAAGGTTAGCAATAATAACTGAAAACAAGTCAGCTAGTCTAAGGCGCAGTTTGTAAAGTCCCCCTGTCTACTAGAAACTTAGGTACAGGCAGCTTCTCGTATGAAGCTCGATTGCAATGACACTGCAGGAAATCAACAACAAACAGCTTAGTGGAATTCATAAATGCTAATCCCAGATACATAAATAAGTAGACATTTTGGATGAGGGCAAATAGTTATCTGAATGCCACGTGTAACGCAAAATGTGTTTATAAATATTTGAATATAGAAGAGAAACTATTTTTACAGTTTTTGTAATTTAAGTAAAATAATCAACTATTTTTTTATTTTTTATAAATTTTATTTGAAATGAAACAATAATAAAAGTCAATATAAAATTAAATATACCTAAAATTTATGACATTTAACTTGTGTTAAATTATAATATTTGGTGACAGATTGATTTTAATTATTTATACTTCCTGTGGAAGTTTGGCCCCAAATGTCAATATAGCTTTAATAAATTTGATTTAAAAGAAACAATAATAAATGTCAATATAAATTTTAATATACCTACAGTTAAAGAGATTTAATTTGTGTTAAAATATAGTATTTGGTGACAAAATATTTTTAATTACTTATACTTCCTGTGGAAGTTTGGCCCCAAATGTCAATAATTAATGAATTTTGCTTATCAGTAAACACATATATTTTTGCTAGTGTAATCGCAGTTTTCTAGCTCAACAAACGTATATATAATATATATAATATATGCATTTGAATCTGAAAACAATGAAGGCGTTTGACTGCGATTTATTAAAAAAGTATAATACTTAGTTGGTACTTATTAGTAAACCATGTGTTGCTTTCCTGTTTGATTTGTCGATTGCAAAAAATCATTTACATACTGGTTCAAATTTCATTCTTTATTCTATATAATATATGCCGGAACTGCTCCCTGGAGTAGACATTTCCTCTTAAATGGCATAATGTATGCAGTTATAAACATCATATACCTTATCGCAAAAAACTTTTGCTTATTGTCTCGGGATGTGTATATAATAATTTATAAATGTATACATATTTACAAGTGAATATTTTCAGCTGATGGATAATAATCACTGGAAAAGAAAATTGAAAAAATTATTTCTTATCACATATTTATATCAGTTCAAGAGGGAAAGTCTTACACCCAAAAAAAAATGATCATAGAAACTAAACTATTTCTACATTAAAAGTAAACTATTGAGTGTCAAAAATTTCTCGATACTCTGAGTATTAAACTAATGGACTTCGAAAGTATAAAAATGAAACTTTCGAAGTTGTCAAGTTTAAACTAACGAGTATACAGTTTATACTCACTCAGTGTACTGAAATTCAGGCTGCTAGTTTATTTTGTATACTATTTAGTATAATGCCAGTATAAATATTATACCCCCCGTATTAAAGAGACAAAATTTAAAAAATGTTGTTTTGTACTTTTCATATATTATAAAACATATTTTTTACATTTTTATAAATTACTGAAGGTAATTTTTAATTTAACAAATAATATAAATACAATACATGCACAAAATATGTACGTATGTATGCATATTTGGGCAAATGCCGTTTTACCGCTTATGTCGCTGATCATCTCCAGAGTGAACGCCGTCCAGATGAATAACAAATCTTGGTCGAGGACGCTGATATTGAAGTTAACATTGCGCTGGCCGCGGTCAGAAAAAATGCAAGCCAATTGCAAGATCCTTAGTTTCCCGGCATCTGGAGCGCAACTCAAGGTGGTGTCAGTAAAAAGAAAAGAATTTACTCATTAGTTATGGACTAAGACACAATTTAAACGTACTTACATTTCAAATAAGCCCAAAATAAGCAAATATTAAAATTTTCACAAGTAATTTTCACAAACAAACCTTAAACAGACCGCAGCGTCGTTTACAAAATACACTAATGTAAAACCCTTAAAATACTAACGCGTCCGAATAGCATTAAAAAGCGGTAACACTTTTTCTGTTCGAAATGTCCAGGTTCCAAACCAGAGCATCCTGGCTTCACACCAGGAACGAAAACCGAAAACTTCGGTATAGAAATTAAACTCAGGACATAAACTTAACACTATTTAGTCTTAACTTAACACTATTGAGTCTGCTCCTTACATTATTTAGTTTTAAATTAATACTGACAGTTTGATACTAGCTGTAGTATACTTTTAATACAACGCGTATTAACTGTAAACTTTCGGATTTTTTTTTGGGTGTAGCAGTGAGAACCGCACAGACCTTCGTTTCAATATCCGAAAAATACCTAGCCAAATGCAAATATTTATTTTAACGAATTGTAAATATTTTTACAAATGAAATCGGCACGGAAAAAAGTTTATAAAAATTTGCGGTGGCATCTGGAAGATTTCGTTTATTTCATTTGTAATCAAAGGAATATACAACCTGAACGGGCAACTGGAACTGCAATCGAAAGGCACGAAATGCTATAATGTCTTAAAGACTTTTGCCTTATCCGCACGCAAACATTTGGGCAGTTGGGCAGTTCGGAACCCATAAAAATAGAATGAAATGGAACAGTCATGGTCAAAACTTACTTAAATATCGATTTATCTGCGCCAGGCCAGAAGCTTCCTAACTTGTATTCCCCGGGCATGAACTCAACGATGAACCGATGGCCAGAAGGCAGCGGAATTGTTTTCGGCAATTGTTGAAAGCAAAACACAAACAAAATCCACACTTTTCACACCTTTTGGTCCATGTGTGTGCGTTTGCTTACATACAATATAAAGTCGCAGTCATGCAAAAAGCTATAACTTTGCCATTTGTATTAAGCAGGCTATTTTCCAATTGAAAGTTATTGTAAATTAAATGCCAACGGCAGAAGGAAGGTCACAGGTTGTATCTAGAGGGGGAGTCTGTGGTATGGCGGTGAAAACAACTGTGCGTTGATCAAAGGATTAATATGTATTTGAATATACAAATACAATTGAAGTCTGATAGAGTCGGCTTCACATCTTCCGAAATATTTCCTTGAATTTTGAAATGATTTAAAGCAGTTGTCGGAGTTTTTACATTGTAAAGAATATAAATACACCAGTAATTTTTCAAGAAATTTATCTGCATTTTACCTATAGTTTCTTATATAAAAAGTATATATTTGTTTACTACACAATTTTTAAAATAATTGCAATCGTATTATACACAAGAAGCTTGCTTTGAGCTTTCTTCAACCAACTGATTAGGCCTCAACTGTAATCAGCAAGTAGAAATTCCCAGGGGTTGATATTTTACGAGTCTTTCTGATAACCCCACGCAAGAATATGCATTATATATATTTTTATATTTTTTGCTTTTTCCGCTTGAACAACAGTTAAAAAAACTTTACAGCGATCTGTCAGTCACATTTCCACCCCCATCCGATGGCCAAGTTCCACAAACAATTCACACCAACACCCAATTTTCACAAACAATGGAAAAGCAGAATCCCATTACGCATCCGCCATGCTGTACCGAATCTGAATTGATTGAATCGTGAAAAGTTTTATAGCAAAATAATTAAATGCTGCGGTTTCTTCCAATTTTCGGTCATCGCGTGTCGGTCGTTTTTCTTGGCTGAACCGAATGTGTGTACGAACGTTTTGTCTTGGCCATTAGAATGGAAATTGCTCCAACGCTTGGCTACACCCAAAAAAAAATCCGAAAGTTTACAGTTAATACGCGTTGTATTAAAAGTATACTACAGCTAGTATCAAACTGTCAGTATTAATTTAAAACTAAATAATGTAAGGAGCAGACTCAATAGTGTTAAGTTAAGACTAAATAGTGTTAAGTTTATGTCCTGAGTTTAATTTCTATACCGAAGTTTTCGGTTTTCGTTCCTGGTGTGAAGCCAGGATGCTCTGGTTTGGAACCTGGACATTTCGAACAGAAAAAGTGTTACCGCTTTTTAATGCTATTCGGACGCGTTAGTATTTTAAGGGTTTTACATTAGTGTATTTTGTAAACGACGCTGCGGTCTGTTTAAGGTTTGTTTGTGAAAATTACTTGTGAAAATTTTAATATTTGCTTATTTTGGGCTTATTTGAAATGTAAGTACATTTAAATTGTGTCTTAGTCCATAACTAATGAGTAAATTCTTTTCTTTTTACTGACACCACCTTGAGTTGCGCTCCAGATGCCGGGAAACTAAGGATCTTGCAATTGGCTTGCATTTTTTCTGACCGCGGCCAGCGCAATGTTAACTTCAATATCAGCGTCCTCGACCAAGATTTGTTATTCATCTGGACGGCGTTCACTCTGGAGATGATCAGCGACATAAGCGGTAAAACGGCATTTGCCCAAATATGCATACATACGTACATATTTTGTGCATGTATTGTATTTATATTATTTGTTAAATTAAAAATTACCTTCAGTAATTTATAAAAATGTAAAAAATATGTTTTATAATATATGAAAAGTACAAAACAACATTTTTTAAATTTTGTCTCTTTAATACGGGGGGTATAATATTTATACTGGCATTATACTAAATAGTATACAAAATAAACTAGCAGCCTGAATTTCAGTACACTGAGTGAGTATAAACTGTATACTCGTTAGTTTAAACTTGACAACTTCGAAAGTTTCATTTTTATACTTTCGAAGTCCATTAGTTTAATACTCAGAGTATCGAGAAATTTTTGACACTCAATAGTTTACTTTTAATGTAGAAATAGTTTAGTTTCTATGATCATTTTTTTTTGGGTGTAAATGAGGTCTGGTGCGCTGCGGTTCACTGTGGTGTGATGTGGTCTGGTTCGGCATTCTGGGAATGCTTTGGGTTACTCTGGCATTATTTACTTGACTGCAAAAATGCTTCCTTTGATTTTTGTGAAAGGCCACGAAAATCGATTGGCTGTACAATTTAACTTTTGGCCGCTTTAATGGGTGCTGATGAGCGAAGCCCAACTAAATGTAACCGAATTAATTGCCTTTTAATTAGTTGAACACATTATCAGTTTTCAGGTGGCACGGCACCAAC